GAGGAGGAGGGGGGGAAGGAAGGATGCTGGTGTGTTAAGATTAATTCAATAGCATTCCATATTCATACTCTACATTAGCATTCCCCAGTTATGACTTCCCCTCTTAATTTAGGCCTTTATTACAAAAATGGAGAGAAGCCTTCTGAAAGGCTAGCCACATCCTACAATTAAGGATTTAAGAAACTACTTCTTCACAAGCCTGAGGGCACAAAGTCAAGGGTGTTTAAGTTCCAGTTATGCAAGCTGAACAACGTGCTCGAGAATAGATCATGTATGCACAAGACTTTGGCTTGCCGGATTTCCATACAAGTTTGAGGTGTTTGTTAACAGTGGATCTGATTTTTCCATTTTATTTTAAAAACCCTATTATTTTAGCATTCAGTTCACCCACATGGCAATGTGGTATTAGGAAGCTGGTTTTCTTTTGGTTTTGTGGGTTTTTTTGTTGGTTTTTTTTTTTGGTGTGTGTGTGGTGGTTTTGGGTTTGTTTTTTTTTTTTAAAGTAAGCCATGTTCTGTAGTTATGAAAGATTAAGCAAGTCTTACCTCTATTGTCCACCTACTCTAATGTATTCAAAAATAAGAGCATTATTAGTGCACCTGGTCCTTGATATGCCTGTGGATGACCAAATGCTGCTGCTGTCTCCCAGTTATTTGCACCACTGTTTCTCTGGCCAGCTGCACTTTCAGGTTTCGTTGCCCAGCTGTCAACTGCGTTTCCATTATCCCAATTCCCAGACTTTCCAACGTTCCAGCTGGACCAAGGATCACTGGCATTGTTTGCCTACATTGTATAAAGACAAAAGTAAAGAAGAAATTGCTGAAGAAATGAGCAATGACCACATACTTTCTTCTTGAAGTCTTTGATCTCTTCCTGATAGGCTACAAGTTTGCATTCAGCACTTTACCTGTTTGATTTAGGAGCAGCTGCCCAATCTTATGTTTCCAGCTACACAGCTCTTAAATGCAGTAAGCACCTGGAAGAACTGATCAGCTTTCCAGCAATATGACACCAATACATACTAATAAGAATGCTACATCTCCTCAGCGACATTAAACTATTTGTTCCAACAGCGTTAGGAAGCACTCTTGCCCATAGTAATTATTTTACACCAACACCATAAGTATGGTGCATGTGAACTATTAATTACGTAAAGCCATGGACTAATTAGCACATTTAAAACAGGAACTCAAAAGTCGAGGATTAGGTTTTTCCAAATGTTCATTTTATCAAACCCAGACTAATGGCCTTATTAAAAGCAAATCATAAATCGCCCACCTACACCATCCCTACTGGTGTGACAGTTAGGGAGTTAGGGCCAACAACCTGCTCAGCTTCCCTGTCAGATCTTAATTCATTCACGTCAAAGACAAGGGAAGGGAACAAACATCTGCCAGGGAACAGTCTGGCATTTCCCTGTAGACTTACTCTCTCAGCATAAGGTTCTGGTGAAGGTAATCACACATACACTTCTGCTGATGCTGCTGTGGAGGTGGAAACCTCAGTGAGAGTGTAGAGCAGACATGTCTCTAACTACTGCATCAATTTGCCAAGTAAATTGGATTAATAGCTTAGCATCCTGCTCAACTCCTTGATTTTAACACTACACTTTGAAAAAGCATTGACTAGTTAAGTGCAGTCTGCTCCAGACACTTACTGCAGAGACTAGCTGGCAGAAAGAAAACACCCACACAAATCAGAACCCACACACCCAAAGTGTAGGAGGAAGGAGGAGAAGGAAAGCAAACAAAGCATATAAAGCTTGTCTTGTTCAGCATAGCGAGAAACTGAATTTTGTAAAAGGAAGTCTCAAAACCTACAGAAGCCAGTGAATTATTTTTAATCAGGAAGCAGAATATCAAAAAAGGGATGTCTAATATAAATTAATTGCTATTACACTATAACATTTACATGAATTTCAGAACATGTGGCAGTACAAAAAATTTAATAAAACTCCCACTAAAAGCCAAGTTATTCTCCACAAAGATGTTGAATATCTTTGTTTCTTACACAAAATACACAAAAAGAGGTATGGCTACGCCACACTCCATTTTCCTTCACTAAAACTCTCTCCTCACATTTCAGCTTTGAGATACTACTTTGGAATGAGAGCTCTCACTTCAGTTTTTCCTAAAATAAAGTTATCTGACAGACAGATTTCACAGGCTATAAAACCTTTTAAGACTTGAAAATGCTTTGGACCTATTGATATCCTGCAACACCTGTTCTTTAGGTACAGAATCCCCAGGATCTGGAAATTAAGACCAAATCCCCAAGCTAGGGATAAATCACCATTCAGAAGAGCCAGTAGAGTCAGTATGTCTCTAGGAACTGATGGCATGAGAGAGATGATGTGGACAGCTTCTATACTGAGAGTTTATGGAATTTTTTTTGAGAATGAAACTGATGCAAGAACAGTACTCCCTAAGGTAGCAACAATGTTGAGGTCTACCTAATTCTTGGACAGCTGATCCACAGTGCTACTCTCAGCAATTATGAAGAAGTTGCTGGTAGTTTATGAGGTACCAGCCTGCTCTTCCTAGGATGTTCACCTGGTATGAGTATAGCAATGAGGAAAAAACCCCATACATGCCATCAGTCAAAGTTTATCCTCTTTGCTAAAGGAAAACACATACACTGGGGCCCAACCACATGGGAAAGCATGTTTGCTCCTAACATAACTTGGAGCACCTAGAAAAGAATAGTTTGCATAATACTCATTTGCATATACTTCTGCAATATATGTTGTGCTGATCACTGGCAAACGAAAACCCATAAGTGGGATGACTGCCAAAAGGCTGAGTAAAGTTTTTCTCTTCTCTGTAGTTCATGTGAAATTTGGTACATGAGTGGGTGGCAAAAAAACTTAAAATCTGCTGCAAACCAAGGGGAGGCAATAATATTAACACTGGGTACACTACTAAAGAACGGCTGTTGAGCAATCATCACCAAACTTGCAGACAGTTGCTGATACACACTAAATGTTGTAGGGCAAGGGAAAATGGATTACTTAAACCCTCTCAGATGTTTTATCTCTATATACCTATATGGAAGCACTATTCAAATCAGGAAGTTTCACTTCTAAAGTGTCTAAGAAAGCTCTTGGGTAAGTTCTTGCCCCTAAGCATAACACCCATAGGCTATAAAAGGAGTGGGATACGCTGTTCCCACTCAGCTTCTTTCAGCCAAAGGATCCATATTTCTTTCTGAGGCACTAGGGGAGACCAGTTAGGACTGTATATATAGACAACACATCTCAAAGAGCATTTACAGGCCTCCTTTCATCTTTCTTCAAATGTTTGCCTACATACACACACACCATGGACACTTCTAAGGAGCAGCCAAAAATCAGTAAATGTGGAGAAGGTCTCAGGAATCAGGCCTGCTATCCTAAAGGTCCCATAGCACTGTGGAGGACCAAGTAAAGACAGCAATTGATAAAAGGGTAATGTCAGCTCCAGTCAGCAGTTCTGTCGATCTCAGCAGCTGACAAATTCCATACGAGAAACCATTTGTGTGGCTTAGCTCTGGTTGAATAAATCCTAATTAAGCCAGTAAGTATTTTATAAGTGATTAAATTACATACATATTCTCACACCTTTAGTTTTCCATAAGTAAAATTGGTAATCCTCATATCTCTTCAAAGACGAAGAGTCTTTGCAAGAAGCTGTTATTTAGTCAATATAACTTGATACAGCACACCTAACATCCAAGTGTGCAAGCAAATCTCAAATGCAAGCACATAGAAAGAAATGCCACACCATGCATAATTAAGAAACTAATCAACCTTCAAATGAAATATTGCACCTCTTTGCTTCTCAAAGTAACATCAAACAAGTACATTGAGATTAAATTCAAGAATAAACTCCTTAAAGGCAGCCAATTCTTCCTTTTGTAGACTATTACGGACTTGCTTGCTCCTCCTGTTCTAGAAGAAAAACCACCACAAAAAGGCTATGTGGGGAACAGACAGAAGGAACACATTACTAAATATTTTAAGAGTCTTCCATTAAGGGCAGATTCAAACTCTCTATAGAAACAGTTCATTACTGCTGGGGGGCTGGGGAGGAGTGGAGCATCATAGAATGTATTGGGTTGGAAAGGACCTCTGAAGGTCATCTAGTCCAACCCCCCTACAATAAGCAGGGACATCTCTGACTAGGTCAGGTTGCTCAAAGCGCCATCAAGCCTGACCTTGAATGTCTCCAGGGATGGGGCTTCCACTGCCTCTCTGGGCAACCTGTTCCAGTGATCCACCACGAGAAGTCTCAGATGTTTATAAAGAACTGAAGTTGAATGAAAAAAATCCACGACAGGAAAATCCTCAGCTTGAGGGTGGAATGTCAGCATCTTCATCAAATGAATCATGAATTAAATAGGAAGAAGCGACAAGTGACATCTTTGCTATTTTCTGGAGAATTCAAAGTTATAGACAAAAAAGCTAAGATAAGTCACTGAGGTGTCTTCTCTGCTTTGGCTAAAAAAAAAAAATTAAAAGAGAATCTTTTTTTGACCTCTTGGCCAACTGAGCTGTTCCTGGCAGACTCCTTCCTCGTATTAATGGATGCTCCTGATGGACAAATCGATCCATGCTACTCCTGAGGGGACAAAAGCCAAACCAAATATGATGCTCAGATGCTAAAGCTAAGTTGAACACCTAAAAAGATCTTGGTAACTGCAGCATCAAAACCGACGACCTCCAACTGTAAAAAAATACACCTTGAAATCGACTCTGAGAGACAGAAGCCATGCTAAAGCAGTGAGCAGAGAAAGTAAATCTGATCGCATCAAGGGAAGTCCAGGGCAGCCAAAGCTGCAATGAGAAGCGCTACACTCCTGAAGAGGGGTTGAGAAGAGACAGACAGTGCAGAAGAATGGCAGAAGATACAAGAAAAGTCATGGTTGCTTAGCTGAATAGCTCACAGGAATGCGCATACCTCTCCAGTTTTACAGGTGCCTTAGTTACCAGCATGGAGAAAAAGCCTTACAGACACTACAACAAACCCAAGTTCTTTGGATAACAGCCTCCATATAGACAGTCACCCTAAAAATCAAGCTTTTTTCCTCCAGGAAGAAATGTGAAGGGCTAAAAGCCTACTCTGCAGCAATCACAGAACTGCATTCACTATGCTATATTTACCATAGAGCAAGTGTACACATTAGCAGATACTGAAGTAGCTGCCATGCCCATGATATTTTATGCCCAAGCTTTCTTCCTGGTGAATCATTACATTGTGTCCAGGGCACTTCTTTCACTCCTGAAGAAAGGACTTCTTTTCTATTGTACAATTTAAACACGTTTTCTCCTTAAAAAAATCCTCCAGGAAAAGCAAGTGTGGAGATGGGCTAGAGTTTAAGGGATAACCAGCCTTATGGACTCACATATTAGAATGTTCCTGTGGATAAATACATGAAAGCAAGAGGAGAGAGGACCCTCAGCAGCAGCTGACAAGGAGGCAGTAGCAATGCTGCCCAAGGAATCCATTTGTTCTTCAGCTGCTCCTGTCATCTTGCTTCCAGAGAAAAATCATCATTCAGCACCTCCACTCCCAGCCCCACTGCCCCCTTCATAAAGTAGTCCCTGCAAAGGAGCTGGGCTTTGCCCGCTCACAAACTGGATGCTCCTTGCAAAAAAAAAAAAAAAAAAAAAAAAAAAAATCGAAACCACCAGTAGAACAACTGAGTTACTATGATGAAGAGCAGAGCAGTTAGCTTTTTGTTCTCTTCCCACTTCCAATACCATTTTCTTATGTGTCAGTTTATTCACAGCCAAAGTAGACTAG